TTATCTGTAATTCACATTTGTAACATCCGCCGGCCCTGGTTGGCAGGAAGCACTCGCTGCCTCTTTATATCTCTCTACTAACCTATCTGCCCGTCCATTCATCCACCCATTCATCCATTCATCCATCCATTCACTCATCCATTCATCCATTTCTTTGTCCATCCATCCATACCCCCCCTCCCTCTCTCTCTCTCTCTCTCTCTCTCTCTCTCTCTCTCTCTCTCTCTCTCTCTCTCTCTCTCTCTCTCTCTCTCTCTCTCTCTGTCTCATTTATTTCTATTTCTTCATTAAGCGTCAAACCTTCTCGCAAAGGAAGTTGATTTACACGTAACGGAAACGATCGCCTCCGTGATGATTAGGACGTCGGTTTACAATCACTCCGGGCGATGGGTTGGTTATGGCCATGTGGTCGGTGTCAAGGGCGGCCTTATGGCTCTCTTTTAACTCTTCTTCCTCTCTTTTTCCTCCCCCTTTTCTTATCGCTTACCCCTTTTTTTCATGCCTACTGCTTCATGTCCCCCCTTTCATCTTTTCTTCTTCCCTTTCTCTCTTTTTTTTTTCCCCTCTTCTGTTTCTCATTTCCCGTAATCTCGCTTTCCCTTTTTCATTCACTCCTTTCCCCGTCTTTCTCCTTTCCCCAACCCTTCTTCCCTTTTTTTCTCCCCTTCCCTTTCTCTCCCCTTCCCCTCCTCTCTCACTTGTCATAAAGGCGCTTCCTGCGATCCGGGCGAAAGCATCAGTTCTTCGCCGACATCCTGTAGAAGGCGACGAAGAGGCACCAAGGTCCTTCGTGTTCTTGTCTCGCTCTCCTTCTTATTAACGGCGGCGTTTCGTAAATGAAGCTGGCTATTTTATCATTGCCAGTTAAATATTTTATTACTCTTTTTTATGAGGGCGATTCGTACACTCGTTTCCCTGCATTTTTTAAAGGCTGCTTCACTCGGTTTGTTCTTTCGTTCGTTCCTCCCTTCGTTTGTTCGTTGCTCCCTTCTTTCCTTCGTTCGTTCGCTCCTTCCTTCCCTCCTTCGTTGTTTTTTTCGTTCGTTCGTTCGTTCGTTCCTTCCTTCCTT